TCAGATTGGGTTACGTGTTGTATAAGCCCCCATTATACAAGCCAAGGCAGGGCAGAGGCTTTCCCAGGACTATTCAATCCTCCTTTCTCCTGCTCGGTTTCACTGTTGCTCCCTCATTCCTTCCTTCGCACTGTCCCTTCTCCTGCTGCTTGCTTGGACATCGAACAGGTGAGTCCAAATGCTTCCATCACTGTGAGTTAGAGCACACATCACTTGGTCTTTGAATGAAGTATGACTGTGGGACCTTATGAGTGGGCCTAAAGTTGCTCATGTGAGTTGTTGAGGACATTATTTTCCCCTTGAAGCATGCATATTCCTTTTAGGGCACTCCATCACATTCACCTTGAGATTCTGCTTTTCCATGAAGAAGTGTCATATCAGTAGCAAATTTCTGTGCATCCCAGCACTCACCTTTCAAGCAAATGTTCTGAAAGCATCTTCAGGCTATTTTTTTTTTAAATGGAGAAATGCAAAGTGATGCTGCTCCTCCTAACAGACTTCCAGAATGCATTTGCTTCTTCAGAAATAGCCTCCTTCAATCCCTCGACTCTCCCTTTGCCAGATTACTTTCAATTCTCTGTTCTGACGACATGGAGAAAAGCAGCATTCATTGGAAATAACGTGCACCTTCCAGAGTGAGAACCACGACCTGCATTTGAAAACCAACTCCAGCACAGTGCAAATGCAGTACTTTTCACATTCTTTCTCATTTCTACATGTTTAAGTAATTGCTGTCAACTCAGCACACATCTGCAATATTTTGAAACCCATTTCTCTGGTTTTGATATTCTAAGTTTGACTCCAAGACCCTAAAAAGCTGCTGAAATACATATTGGCAACTCATCATAATCTTTCAAAGAAAAAGAAACGTAACACTGTATTGCAAACAGAAAATTCATTGCAATTTTTAGAACTATGGAGAATATACTGAAGCCCTAACAAATACAACTTGTTTCTTAATAACAATAAGGGAAGTTAATTATCTAAAGCATGCCTTTTCATGACAGAGGGAAAGAACAAAACAGTAACCAAAACCCACTGACTTTACAGACTCCCAGTTGAAGTTTGCCCCTGTAGCAGGAAGAGAACACCACAGTTTTACCTGGAAACTGGAGAGCTTAAGCTTTTCAGATCTGGCCAGTATTATACAATAGAACAGATTTTCTATTATACAATACAGGACAGGTATAAAATACCTGTATCACCCTTATTTCCCTGTCCCCTGCTATAGGCTCTTTTGAAAACCTTAAGTCTTTACCACATCTATCTTAGGACGCTTCCTTGCAAAGCCAAGACGCCTGCTCCTTGCAGTCTGGTTTTTTCTGCAGCACAGTAAATTGCTACCCTTTGAAATGCTTGAAAAAAAATTTTGAATGAAGTCCAGAGGAATAGCCAGTGGCTGTTCTCTCTGTCTTAACCTAGATCAGTTTGACATAAGCCATTTATTTCATGGTTAACCCCGGAAAAATCCTGCAGGGAATATAAATTTGTGCATTAATCCTGCTCACTGGTTTGGATCCACTTAGGTTTGGATGAAGGAGGTGCCACGCTGCAATCCCCCAACTCAAATTTACTATTTCAAATGCTTTATGAAAATATCATTCCAGAGCCTTCCATGATCCTCACACAAACTCATTATTGCAGAGGAGAGAAAGAGACACCACTGTAAGCACTGAGCATTAAAATGAAATATAAAGCAGCATTAAAGTTGCTCCGTGCTTAATGCTGCAGTTTAAGCAGCTAATCTTGTTTCGGTTGAATGGCATGTTCATTACAGCAAATAAATCAGTAACATGTAGGATTATTGAAGAGGAAAGACATATTAAACCAGTTTAGGGCATCATATTGATTTTTCAATATTTTTTTTCAGTGTCCGATTTAGCTTGGCGTTTTTCAACAGTCAGTTCTAATAAACGCTTGTATAGCAGAGATTAAGCAGGTGGGAACACTGCCCAGAAAGAGTATTATGAATAACTTAATGCACTGGTTTAATTGCAGCAATCCATGATACTTACTGTGCTGGCACCAGAGGGGAATTTTCAGTATTAGAAGTTAAAACTTCAACCAAGCTACTAGTGAGTATCTCCCTTTTATTAAATATTTGAAAGAGCTTTCCAATATTTTCACTTCAGATGAGAGCAGGGAAGATTTCAGAGTTCATGTAACTATTTAACTTATTTCTACCACAACTAATTAAGTTATTTTTTAAAAATAGTTATCATTTACTTGGCACAACTTTGCCTCTCTGACACTGCAAAACATTGCAGCCGTGTCCCTGCTGTCCCTATGCCCAGTCAGCCCTATTCTGCCCAATCCCCTTTGCAAACAATGCACAGAAGCAAAAAAGCCCAAACCATCTCACACTTCAAGTAACAGGCTCCTTTCAAAGCTATACTGTATTCCCATATTGCTTTCCCACATTGCACCAGCATCCTTGCCACAGTTCAGAGAAAAGAGTCCTTTTGGAGTCTATCCATTTGGCGATGGCCATACTTGAGTAGCAACATAGTTGACCTTAAGGGGTCTCAAAGTAGGGCTGGCAGGAGAAGAAACACAGTTAAAGCTTAGGTAAAAGAGCAAAGGGCTCCCCATTGCCAGATGGCCTCCCCTCAGCCTCAGCAATTTGTCCACATAGAGTGAAGACCTCTGGGTAGAACACCAATGACATTTGCAGTAATCAAGCTCTTGTCCCACACACCATACACCAAAACACCAAAGCAAGGATTCAGTGGGAAGTTGTTTTATCTGTGGGGGAAAAAAATACAGCATTTTCTTCTCTGTAAAAGGCTGAAAGGAACAACATCTGTTCACAGGACAAAAACCTCCCTTTTCCTTCACCTCCAACCTGTGCAAGGTACGAAGGTCCATCTTAGCCCACCGCAGCTCTGGAGAAGTGTGCCTGTTCATGCATGCTCCCATGCACTCACCTTAGCCAGCACAAATCAGAAATGCCCCAAGCACCACCTCTGGCCTGAAGCAGATGCTGGGGGAAACCAGCTTGGAGCAGCACCAACTTTCCAGCAGAGCAAAGCCCTGAAGCTGTGTGCCATAGCAGAACACACTGGTCTGACAGCTCCCTAAGCCCACACACAGCCCTGGGTACAGACCATGCCAGGAACCCTCACAATGGCCAACAGAGATGCTAGTGTCTATAACAAACACCTGTGCTTGCAAAAGGTTATCACACAACCGATTGTGGTCACTGATCACTTCACCTCCTGTTTTCTTCCTTTCCATGCTATTTTTGCCTTAGATTAGACCAGGGCCTCCAAGACAGCAAGCGCTTTTCAACTCTCGGCACAACACAAGGCCACATTAACGCACTAATTGCACATAAATCATCCTGGCTGACTCCAACAAGTAGCAACAGACACCTATCACAATGCTGGGAGAAGCAATGCTCCAGAGCAGTTGCAGAATTTACTGGATCAGCTCTTCCGATGTGTAACTTTTTACACTGGCAAAGACACAGAATGTGCATCCTGCACAAACTTGAATATCAGGCTAAAAAAGCTTACAACAGTCTCAGAAGGAAAATTCACAATGAAATATGAACAAAAATTGGTAAGTTACTCATACATTCTGATTAGGAGTGCAGTAATTTTGCTAATCACATAGTTTATCATTCCAGAGAAACTCTATATTCAGGGCACGAAAACTAAGGTATAAATTAGCAGAAACACAAAAAGATTTGACGGTACTTGATTAACTGGACAGAATGCACTAGAAACAAAACATCAGGAAACTGAAGCCATTTTGTGATTGTAGCAGGTATTTAATAAAGATGGAAAAAACAGTCATTACACAAAATATATACATTTCTGGTTTGTTTTGAAGAAGTCCCTTGTTCAATGCTAAACAAGAGTCCTCACTCAGCTCAAAATAGAACAGGAGCTTTGTAAAGAACCTTTGAACCAAGATTATTTTGACACCATCATACAATTCAGGTGTCCTACCAGAAGAAAGCAGTTGCTTTTGAGTAACTCAGAAGAAAGTCCCTGTTGTCATCCTACTACTTCCTCCCATTCCTGACCTATGCAGGCAGCCCCCCTGCATGTCCCATCACAGACCAGTGGGGGACCCGGGGCTCAGCTGCACTGTTTCCTCACCCAGGCCCACCTCCACCAAGAAGCCAGAGCATCCCCCTTCCAGCTCAGCTGCAATCAGGGTCCCATTCATACCATCTTTTCTCAGAATATTTCAACCACCTGTGCACTTTAGCAGCGTCTCCATCTGAAGCGCTTAGTTCCATGTGTGTTTACAGACCCCCATTTCCACCCTCAATTACTCTCAGAGCCTCTGCTCCACTCATTAGGTAAATCCTCCGCTCTTCCCACTTGCCTTTCCCCTGTGCTGATTTCCTTTCAAGCTTCTCCCCCAAGCATACAGGCAACCAGAACAGTCCCTAGTTTTCCAGCTGAAGCCATACCTCATGGACCGGCATTACAATTTCCCCAGCCTTCCTGGAAGTCCCTTGCAAGGGATACACTGAGATTTAAATTTGCCTTTGAGAAATCCACATCCCACCACTAGTGCACAAGGCTCCTGCCCTCAGGCGAGACACCGAGCTCTCTCCACGGTGACGCGCTGCACTGCCGTTTTTAAAAAAATCTTGCAGCCTAACAGCAATCCAACACCAACTCCGTGCCTGCTGACACTGAAAGTGGCCAGTGCAGGCAACCAGAAGCCTCCCCACAAAGACAGTAAGTTATCCCCACCAGCCTTACTCAGGCACACCCATCCAAGAAACTCCATTGCAACTAACAGGAGCCTTTCCATAGACTCCAGGAGGCTCTGACCCAGCTAAACTCCACCCTTTCTCAGCAGTTGCCATTCATTTGTTCTGTAATTCAGTACAGCACTGCTCTGAAAACATCTTTCTGATGCTGTTTTCCTGCAAATGGAATAATGGGGAATAATAAGCAGGTGCTTCTGAACGCAAACCCAGAACAGCATGAGTATAAAACTACCATAGATGAAGCAAGTAAGTAACCACACTGTTCATTGTTTATTGACAATCTTTATTACAGCTGACTTTCCATGTTTAGAGGTTTCCTAGTAAGTACAAATATGAATCGAAGTGCTATCCCACAGTAAGAAATTTTTATTTGCACAAAAGAGATACAAACAATCAGTATTTCAAAGTTTATGCTACTTAATATATATAATACTAAAAAGGCAAAAAATAAACCAAGATGAAAGAGTAGCAGCAAAAAGAATTCTATTTCTCTTTCAACACAGTCTCTGTGCTTCCACATTTCTCTAGCAAATAGAGTACAAAGAGAATTCAATCCATTTATATATGAAATATCCTACCAAAAATATAACACTGTGTAAAGAAAGTTAGTAGTACAAAGTTTGGGGCAGGGGAAAAAAAAAGAGAAAAGGAGAAAATAGATGTATTATTAAAAATCCCAAGTGTAAACTTTGCTGCTGCTTTAAAATCAAAAACAAAAGTCACATGAGTATTTCCGTTTGGCTTGGGAGCGAGGAAAATAAGAAAAGCTGATTTTTTTTTAAAGTGCTTAAGCACCATATCCAAAAGTAATGACTTTCAGACCTACTTAACATGAATGTGCTCAAAAAGCCACTGCTTACAGTATAAAAGCTGTCATTCTGAAATGCTGCACATTCAAACTGGCTTTATCTGCACGAATGAAAGATTCCTTTGAACAGCTCTCAATCATATGATGTCCCAAATCAATGTAATGCTATTAGAGCAGGCAGCTGAATTAAGTCCCAGAAAGTTGAAGTTTAAGAATAATAGATATAAAAAAAAAAAAAATATTTTTTTAATTTAAAGGCAGCACGCCTCTCCCAGCCACATGAAGGTAACTTTATGCAATAAGCAAGAGAAACAGTTTTATGTTATTGTTGTAAGCTACCTAAAACAAAGTGACTGTTGATCTCGCAATTCACATGTTAAGCAGCAGGAGATAGATACTTCTTACTGACAAAACACAAAAAGGCAATTGTGGGTGGGACCAATTGCTAACACAGTATTTTACTTATTATTAAACATACTGTCAACTTGACTTCAAAATAAATAGTATGTCCTAACAGAAAAAAAAAAAAAAAAAAAAAAAAAAAACCAAGAAAACCAATTATTTGAAGAGATTTAGGACTGTTTTGTTACACTGTTATATATTTATTTGAGCCTTAAAATAAAGGAAAAATGTAACAAAGCAAATCAAATACATAAGACAATTTCATGCGGGGTTTTGACAGACATCAGACACAGATTGCAAGAGAAATTTAAATTTTTTTAGCCATTTAGTAATGGCCATTATTTTTTAATCTCAAGGTTAGAAAACACATTTAAAAATTGGAGCAAAGACTCTGGCATTCATTAAGCCCAGGTACTGCTATAAATCATTTCAATCCCACCACTCTCCCAAATCAGAAATACAATAAACAAACCGAACTGGCAGTATTGCTGCAGCCACTGAATTGTGCCCACAGAGTGACAGCAGCACTACCCATTCCTGCAGTTATTGCACGAATTTCTCCATCAGCTTTGGAATTCTGCAAGCCCAAATTTGTTTACATCCATCTATTTCACAGGAATAATATTTTTACACTATTTCTTGAAAGTCACCAATTTCCAACACAGTATATTCGTTGTCCTTCAGAACAGTTTTTAAGTTAAGAGAACCCAAAGGCGACTTCTCCCCTACAAAGTTCCTGTAAACACCTCTGTATTAAGCCATAGCAAGTTCTAGAACAGGAAATTCAGCATCTCCAGTGAATTGACTTTACCTCACTTCTCCTCTACAAAAACATTTAAAAAAACCCAGAACACTTAATAATTAAAAAGGAAAGGAAATGGCACAATAAAGACAGTGAAACATTGTAACCCAAACAGACACGTAAAATAAACCTCTGAAAAATATAGCATTTGAAAAGCAATTATTTTAGCGGTTAAAGTGTGCAAAAGACTAAATATGCCACCTGTTCCAGAGATAACTGAATACTGTAGCCATCAATGATTACTATTCAAGTCCAGCACTGGCAGTTGTGCTGCTTTTGTTGTTGTTTTGGACACTACATATTACCACTTTCTCTTCATTTGTCATGCCTTTTTGTTTGTTTTTGTTGTTTTTTTTAACAGATCCCAGCAGCATGACTTTACAGTGGTATAGGAAAGATAGGAACTTTTTCTTTTTTAAAGGTTTCCTGTCCATCCTAAGTCTGAATATTATGTGAAATTAAAAATAATGTTTTAAGCAAGAACATCAAACATTATTTCAATTTTTGCCTGTCTATCAAAATCACCTCAAAAAGATTCAAAATCTCATGTTTTCGTGAAACAAATATGATGAATACAGGAAAATACCATGCAAGGAAAGTGTAGCTATTCTATTGATGTGAAGTACAAAAGCTTAGAAACAGAAAAACACCCGCTTCAGTCCGAGACTGAAAAAAAACACCACAGATTTTTCAAAACCAGAGTCCATACAGTGTCACACAGCCCTGCCTTGTCATGTTTGTTAATACCCTCGCTTAGAAGTCAGACAGCATTTTGTTTAACTTGTGTTGCTCTGTATCATTACACTAAACCATAATTAACTCCTCTTTTGTGCCGGCCTCATTCCAACACAATTGTACCCACTGTATACCAGCAGCAGTTCTCAGGTTTTGTTTTGCAGCTCAGCTGTATTTTTCTTGGATGTTCACGAGACTGGCATTTGACTGGATGCGCTTGGCTAGAAAAGGAAAAATTATATGAAAATTAAACACTAAGAATTCCCTAAAACTAGTCTCTCCACTCCCTCTATTTATCCGACACAGACTTGCAAACAGCTTTCTGTTCACGTCCAGAAACTTTAATGAAAAGATACGGCTGAAGCTCTTTCCTACCCTTCTTCAGGGGACAGCAGCAGACTAATAGTTGCTATTAGCGCCGTCAGCACAGCTGCAGGCAGATCTGGCTGGGCTCCTCTCCCACACGAGCCAAGCAAATCCCTGGCACCACCCAGCTCTTACAGTGAAATGCCAACACCACCACTTACGCAAAATGAGTATCCGTTTCTTCTGCTTTGAGTGAAGGAAGCTACTAAGATAAAAAACAATAGGTAGGAAGAGAATAAAGGATGAAACTGCAATCACTGGGACTGTATCACTGCAGGGAAGAGAACAGTTGAAAGTCCTGCTCCAAAGCTTCCGAGTGATGTTCATCTAAAAGGAAAACATAAGCAAACCATGAAAGCAAGCACATGCATTTTTTTCTGTGCAGCATGGCATGGCAAACACTCAGGCCTCAAGACATTCAAGTGTTCAAATATCACCTCAGAAAACAGCACTTTAACAGAACTCCCCCCAAAAACAAGCAAATCCCTGGAAATGTAGAAACAGACAACTTAGACGAGGCCAAGATTTCATATCAAAACTTTTACAAGCTTCAAAAACACAACTATACTCAGATACATGCAGACATTGGGAAACAGGCATGTGGCTCACTGACAGCCTGTGGAGACAGGACTAATCCCACACTTTTGACAAGCACTCCTTTAGCCCAGCCACTTAAACTCCCACAATATACAGAAGCTTTTTCCAAACATATGTCATCAGTGCTGAGGACCTCTAGAAACAGCTGCTACAATAAGGAATCAATTAATACACCAGCTAGAACAATAGCAGTAAAGCTTCATATTAAAAGCCAGAAGATTAGGAGATTTTTTTTTTTTAAATCCATCCCTTTCACAGTAACAAGAAACGAAAAGTGCAGCTACTCAAACTGGAACGCACTTGGGAGATCAGGAGCTTCAGTCACGCTCCTGCAGCCCCAGCTGAGGACAAGACCCAGCAAGGCAGCCCCACCAAGCTAAATTCCCGCCATGGGACATCAGCCTGCCAAAGGCACTGCTGCCCATACTGCCCGACACCCAAAGGGAAAAGCCAATCCCTAGCAAGACAAGCACAAATGGCTGAGATTAATAAAGATCCCCATGACAAGGCCTCCGTGCTGAGTCTTAATAAACACTTACTGCATCTTCCACGTCGATACATAAGTGTGCGGAGTGCCCAGACTCATCACTTTGCCTGTTCATCCTCTGCAAGTTGTTATACAGGTCATTCAACTTTGTGTAGGTTTCATTGCAGTTTTTACACACTTCTGTGTAGTTATTTGGTGACAGATAAACGGTTTGTCCCTAGGGTTATAAAAATCTGCATGAATGCTGGTTTAAGGCATTACAAAAAAATTGGTTTGATTTGTTAGGTTGCTACTGCTATATTGACTGCTAGACTGACAGGGACAGACGGTGCCACACTGAGCAACCCTTTTCATCTGTGGCCTTCGGCACCTCCTGCACGCAACACAATGCACTCAAAAACAAAACTACAGTCTCTGAAGATATTTTAACACAGTCATGGCTGTATCAGCAACCCAATGACCACGAGGTCAAGTTCTAGTTTAGACACTCGAAGTGATCAGTAGGCTAAAGAAGGCCTATAAAATGAACAAGGCCTATAAAGGCACATTTCCCAGAAAGCATTAATAACAAAAAAGCAGTTCCCTCAGAGATTGTCCCGTACCCATCATTTCCCATTTCTACTACTGAATGATCCCGTAACTTGGCCAGTTTCTGATTGAAATGGAATATGCACAGTTTCTCAGGCTATATAGGGCATTTTCTCTTAGGATGATTACCACATTTATTTCACTAAGGAAGATATATTTGGCCATATTTGCAATATGGCCAAATTTTAACTACTCGTAATTTTAAGAGTCAAAAGAAATTTTACAACAATTTAAGGTATCTGGCCTTTCTGAACTAGTCCACATTATCAAAAGGATATTTAAAGACTGAATTTCTACGCCAAAACACAACAATTCTACAAAGAGAAAGAAAAAGAGACTTACAGCATGCGCACATGATATTTCTTACTGTATAATTATCAACTACGGTGAATTCAGAAATTCTGATGCAAAGTAGCATTGCAATTACATACAAAATGAAGTCAAGGTAAGTATCAGTTAGAATTAATTTTAAGCTCTCAATCTGTAAACTGCGTTTTACAGAACATTGTTTTATCTGCCTACAGTTCACAAACTCAGCAGCAGTTTATTTGTCTGGTTTGTATCTGCAGTTTATTCAACATCAATAAGATTTTGGTAGCAATTAGAGGATTTAGAGCTTCTCTTAAATACACAGCATAAATACCTGAAGGTTATGTTCAAAACACGTCAGAGATTTATTGAATAAATCCAGGAATTCTTCAGTAGAATTTGATAATCCCTCACTGTTATTCTTTAAACAATCTGTCAAAGAGAAAGAAAAACATCAGGATATTCTAATTCCTAACATTTCCACAGCTGGCAAGCCCCAGACACTCCTGTAAAAAGAGCTCTCGACTATAAAGGACAGGTCTAGTCAACACTGCGATTCCTTATCTGCCTGCCATTGATGTCTCAGACCTGCTGACCTAACTCGTCATCGAGAACACTTTTCAGAATTAATTGGCCTTGATTAAGTGAAAGATGAAGACTATCATCAAGAGCTTTCTGAAGAGGGGGACTGAATTATCTTTGGACTTTGAGATAAAACAAGACATTACTTTTATTTTCCAGCCCGCAAATCTGGCTTTGCCCAGCAACAGTAGCAGCCATTTTGTGCACCAGCAGTGGAGATGAAACAGTGAGCACCCAGGAAACAGCCAGACCACAAACACAATAGTAGAAATCAGAGTGTAGATTATTATTCTTTAAGAAAAGAGCTGAGCTTTTCACCAGCTTTGAGGGGAGCTCTGGGGCTTTCCTCCCAGTCATAGGCTCAACCCTACCATGTTACTGCTTCCATCCATCCTACCCTGCTTTAGGTGCTCTAACCAGCCAGAGCCTCGAAAACAAGAGCATTTGGGAATTTAGGTGTTCAGCAACAGCATCATGAGAGTAAGCCAATATCCTAGAAAATTCTTCTGAAAGAAGCAAGCATCAGCAGCAGTGAGGGTAAGCATTCAGCCGGGCACTGGGCAGGCAGCACACAGTCCACAGGCTAAGCATGGCAGGACAGCACAGTCCACAGAGCTGCTCCTGTTCTGCCTTTCCAGCCCTCACAAACGAAAACAAACTCTTCTGGGCTCTCAAGGGATTCTGCAGCAAATCCAGCATCTTTAACACTCAGCTCCATATTGGTATTCCCACTCTTTCCTAGTGTACCTGTTAGTGCAGGGTCCCACAAAGCACACCAGGGGAATAGCAAACAGCAATAGTTTAGCTGTTAGCACGGCACAGCAGCACCAGCACTGGGACGTGAGACACAACTATGCACTTGGACACTCTCCACCCATAAAATGAAATCAAATCATGGCTGTGCAGGCAGATACTGTTCAACATGTAAGCATCCCAGAGTTAATAACTTCCCTAACAAACAAGGAAAAGATTCTTATCCAAGTTTTTTTAAAAATGGAAAGACGGACAAAAAACCACAATGAAGCTAAAAAAATTCTCCAGCAAAGTAAATCACAAGAAAAACTAGCAAGACTACTAATCTATTAACCTAAAAGAAATATTTATATAGCAACTAAGTTTTCCAACAGATTACTGCCCTCAAATTTTGGCCCTTACAGAAGAAAACCCTCTTGGAGTGGCTATAGTTTAGGATTTCCATGTTATCTACTGATATTCAAACAAATAAGTACAATTCTGACCTGTCCAATTTCTGGGGCTAAGCCATAACAGCAGCACAAAAGCTACAGAATGAGTCACATACTTGCACAGTTGGCTGCCTCCCAGGTTTCATTAAAGAACTCCGAAAGGGTCACAACTATCTGCAGCCTGTCTGAGGTCAAGATGCTTTTGGCACAATTGTGGCTCTCAGAAGAATTCTAGAAACAAAAGGAAACAACAAAAGAAGCAAACAAGTGTTAAGAATACAAAGGGAAAATTTTGAAACATAGTTTGCACAAGCACAGCTAAACAATCACACAACGCATCGCATCGATATTTTCAGAAAAGCAGAGCAGAACTGATGGAACAAAAATCTTTTGATCCTCCAACTCATACTGTGAACAACACAGCTTATTGCAAGTGGTCTCTGCAGACCTACTAGGAAATGCACACAAGTCAGTCAAAAATACACGACAACATAAAAAGAAAAAACAAGCACAAGACAGGGCCTTCTCTTCCAGGTGGCTCATATTCATCCACTCCTGGGCTGCTACCACAGGAGCCAGCTCAAGGCATGTGCAGCCAGAGAAAAGGATGGGGTTGTTCACTAGACAGAAGGAACACTTGAAGGAGCTGAAGCAATGGAGTGGTCTCAAACAAACCAAACCCAAACAATAGAAACAGCCTCCAAAACCACTGTACCAATGTACTCTACCAACAGCAAACTTCCCCCCAGTGCAGCAACACCAGGAAAAGTCCTCTGCAAAGCAGTGCCTGCGCTCACTCCCCCAGGCCTGTGGCCAGGCTGGGCTCTCATCCTCCCCACACACAGGCACCAAGCTCATCTCTCTCAGTGAGCCACCCAACACCTCACAGCAGTCTCTGGCACAACTCATATAGCAACTTATTCTCTGGACCAAGCTCGTAAAAAAGCAGAGAAAAATTATAAAAGCAGTTACAGAACAGGAAGTCTCCCAGTCAGAATTCAGACACGGAACCATGACCTCCAGTCAGCTGACTGCCATGCTCTAGCTCCTGGTTTCTGGCTGCTAAATTGACTTAAGCACTTCTCAAAATTGCCAAAGCTGCCAAAAGCCTCTTTGATAAGCGACGTGGAACATAGGAAAAAATAATCTCTTTAATGAGAAATTTGTTCCTTATGGAGCTTTACAAGAGATCCACTTTCTGCCTCTCTTTGTTAAAATGGGGTGGGGGTTGGGTTAAACAAGACCTTTCCTTTGGAGGCTCAACTGCAGAAGTCAAATATTGCCACATCTGGTAACTCCCACATTCACTGACTTTCATTTCTACTGAATTAGAGAAGACAAGAATGTTGCTTATCTGGGAAACTCTGGTTGCTTCACAAAGGCTCTAACTGTGAAATTTCCTCACCACCTGGGCTCATGAGTAGGAAAAAACACTTTACCAAAACTGAATCAAGTAAACCTAAATAATTCCTTACGTATATTTGCCTAATTGATTCTTTAATTAGCCTAGGGAGGAGGATTTTACATTTCAGAGATGTCCAACACTTAAGTTGGCTGCCCTTGTCGCACTGCACTCTAACTATTGTTAAGATAAAAACATCAGATACCTGACCACTTGTAATTGTGGACTGAGGTTGCAAGAGGTCACCTCCTTTATTTACTTGGTTAGTTAATCCACACACAGAAGGAAAGCCAACTGCTCTCTCATACAGATTTGTCTTCCACACCACAGAGTGGACCAGTCCTCCCAGGCTGCCAGTATTCAAGCACAGCAGATACAATGTGTTCATACATATTGTAAGTACTGGAATATGTTTGGCAGCCTATTCCTAGCCAAAATATCATGCTAAAAGTACCCAAGAGAATTGCATACTAAATTTTTCCCTTTCACACTACCTAGTCACTGGTACAAACAGCTTCCATAAGAGCAACAGATAAAATAGACTACATGTTTGCAAACTAAAACACGAGACCAGTAGCTATACATTTGCCCTGGAAAGGGCAATTACCAAGTGAACATCCATGCACTTTTCCAATACAAGCACTGGAGTGGTGAGGAGAACCGGGCAAACAACCCAACATCACCCAAAAGCAACACTTTTCCAACAACAGGTACTTAAGCTGTGAAAGGCTTTGCAGCTGGACACTGCAGCACCTGAAGTTTTCCTGCGTTTAAAAAGCAACAGATTTTTCTCATCAATTGCAATTCTAAAGTTTGGGATTCAGAAATCCCAAGACTGGAAGCACAGTCCAGGGTACGCACTGCTATAAATGTGCTCTCTTACCAGGGCACCCACTTCATCACAGATCAAAGGTCCTTTGGTCTGATCCACTAATGTCATCCTCGCATCGTCCCAGGAACTAACTTTTACAAATGGATAAACTGGGTGAGAACACACAAAACAAGCCATGAACCACATCCAACACTAAGAAATGAAAAAAAAAAAAACCACCGAAAACCAAAACCAAATAACAGTATGATCAAAGTCTGAAAACCCAGCTTCAGCCAAGGTTCTCCCACCAGGAGGGTGCATTGACTCCAGCCAGTGCTCAAGACTTCTAGTTTGCTGCCACACACTCCCATCACCTTTGGAGCCAAGAAAACCATGACACGGCTCCTTACAGATGATGTGCATCACTCACCACAGTTTCACAGACCATCCATTTTCCAAGAAGTGTCAGGCAACTAAGCTCTGGCAGTGTTCCCCATTAGTGCTATACGACATGTAAGCCAGAGCACTGCTTCAGCCACTGCTACAGCAGCAAGAACAGCTCAAGTTTTTCCACTTGCACAGCTTTTTTCTGCAGGTGGAGCTACTTGCCCCTGGCCGTGCCAGGAGCTGGCTACACGGACCACGCCACCCCACGGAGCAGGAGGTGGCCGTCACTGGCAGCAGCGATTCTCACACATTCCCAGCCTCTGCCAAACTGCCCTGTGCACGCCGGTAAGGCTTCTAGCTTGCCTTCCCGATGATCCCACCTCCACCCGACGTGCTCCGGCACTGAACTCCCACGGCTGGAAGCCTCAAGAGAAGGGCCTAGGCCCTCAGCCCGCCCCGGTAGCCCCGCACCTCCCTCACCCCGGACGCACCCCGACGGCGCGGGCGATGCTGCCGTACAGTGTAAGCAGACGGCGGTAGAGCCCGTGGCAGCCCTGGCACAGCCGCACCGGGCGGGCGCGCCGGCCCAGGCAGCCCGTCAGCGCCGCGCAGCCCTCCGCGAAGGCGGCCAGCAGGCTGCGGCACTCGGGCTCCAGCTCGGGCAGGTCGCCGGGCAGCCCCGCGCCCCACAGCTCCTCCGCCAGCCCCTCCGCCGCCTCCAGTGCCGGGGCCCAGCGCGGCTCCTCGGCGGCGGCGGCGGCAGGGTCGAGCACAGCGAGCGCCAGGACAAGCAGCAGCACCCCAGAAAAGCTCTGCGGCGGCGCCATGGCGGCCTCGCCGAGGAACCGGAAGTGCCGCGCCGGGAAGAGCCCGCCCCCGCCGCGGGGCGCCGCCGCTCATTGGCCCCAGCGGCGAAGGGGCGAGGCCAAAGGGCGGGGCCGCAGCCGGCCGGCCCAGGGGCGCGTCCCGGGGCGGGGCGGGGAGCGGCGGGGAGCGGCGGGGGCCCGTCCCGGCGTCCCGTCCCGGGATCTCGTCCCGGGACACGGCGCTGGGGCGTCCTCAGGGCCGGAAGCGGGTAGGGGCTGTACCTGTGCCCGGGGGATGTACCTGCCTCGGATGCGTCCTGCTCCGCGGGAAGCGCGGTGTCTGTGCCGTGCGTTTCATCTATTTCACGCTCTCTCCCACGGCAAAGGGAATCGAAGGGTATCTGCGGTATGGGAAGTGACTTTAAAATATGCTGAAATACAGCAACAATTTAAAAAAAAAAAATCCCAAAACAGAGAAAGAATTGATGATGGAGAAATAAACTGCAGCTTTCTGCAGGCAACGTATTTCCCGCATCTTATCTGAAGCTGGACACCTTAGTTCAGGTACCACCTTTGTTGGTACCTAGTTCCAAACTTCCCCGTGGCTGATTCTGATTTAAACCACAGCCACGAAAGGAAAACTCTTCTGCTCAGCTCAGGAGAAGAGAGTAGAGGAGTAGGTAACCCCTGGCTGAGGGTTGAAGTACCAGACTATCTGGCAGGACCTTGACCCCATGCCAGTCCCGTCTGACTAAAATTCTTTTCAGCCATTTCCATGGGCCTCTGACTGAGTCTCTGGTCAGACACACCAGAGAGACAAAGCAGAGCCCTACAATTCCATAGCACGGTCCCTCCAGGAATAACAGAGCCAAACAGGAATGGCCCCATCCATTTATTGCAGCCGATTCAGTACTGCACACATGGCACCGGTGACAGTAGACAGTGCTGGCTGACGGTGCCACAACAGTGGCAGCTGCTGGGAGTTCGTGACTGAAGCTCCCCACACACACAGTCATACCTAGCTCCACCAGCTCCACGTCACCTGGCCCACCCAGTGCTGACTTGTGCCAGTCACGTAGTAAATGTCACGGCATGTAAATATCCAGGATAGATTTGTGAAAACACATCATCATCATCATCATCATCATCATCATGGCTAGGCTTCACGAACGAAGATTTGGGAAGGCTCTATCCACATTTGCTACAGGCACGCTGGTGGCTTATGAGGCAAATACGTGACAGACAACACAACAGTGTGAAAACACAACAACAAAGGCAATAAAGATGCCATCAGGCAGTCGAAGAGCACCCAACAGAAAGCATCTGACTTCTCTGAGTGGGCTGAATGCCTCAGCTCTGAAGAACTGGCTTCCAAAGCAATGAATGAAAACAAATTAAAACCACATCATGAGTTTGACACAGAGAAATGTGAGAGTTGATCAAAAAATTATCACATCTCCTGTACTTGCAAATGATCAGGGCAAGGGCCCTAGGTTGGGTCCTGGACCTTCCCTGAGCCCCCCTGCCCCGTCTCCGAGCAGGTCCCACCGAGGCTTTGTCCGAAGCCAGACAGTACCCTCCTGCACGGGGACTGCTGTTTTGGGGACCATGTCTAGCAAGGCTGCTACGTGTGGAAGCCTGAAGCCGCTTAGCAGGATGCGTGTGGCCGGGTGGCCGAGGGGCCAGAAGATGGTCACCTTTCCTTAGCTCACTAGCAGGGGTGCAGCCTCAGCACCGACAAAGCCTGGGGCGGCGGTAATGCCTGTAGCAAGCCGGAGCCCACAGCCTGGAGACGGGAACAGGGACCGGTTGCCGCCCCTAAACTACCCTCGGCCCAGCCGGCTACCAAAAAGCCCCGTTGTCCTGCCACAGGGAGCGGGGTGTCCTCGCAGTGCGGACCCCGGACACGGCCGGGCTGCCCGCATCCCCCCGGGAGAGGGCAGCAGCACTCCCGCACATCGCCCACCGAGGGGCGGCGGGGGGCTAGAAAGGGCCCTCGGAGTGTCCCATACAGCCCTGACAGCAGCTGCATCCCGAGGGAGCAACGGAAAAACACCCCGGACTGGTCGCTTACCATCGTCACCAGAGGCATCCGTCCCGTGGGTCTGCACGGGCACCGGGAAGGACCGGCTGGAGAGGATAAAGCTGCGCCTTCATCTTCGCAGGTCAAGGAGAATGTGTTTTCCCACGCCTTGAGAAACTTAAATATTCTCCTGCGAGAGAACGTGTTCTTCCTCCGAGTGGAAACTGGTCTCGGGGGGTGGGGCGAGGGAAAAAAAGAAAGGGAAAAAGGAGAAAGAAAAAATAGAAAAAAAAAAGGGGAAAGAGAAGAATTTAAAAAAACCCAACAATCAAACTCAAGACTTTCAGATGAAATCTCCAAGGCATAACTGGAGTATAAACATTTCTGACATTAATAAATGCATTGCTGCAGACCTCTAAGATGTCTGGTCATTAAATACTTCTCCTTTTTATCAGTAATAAACATGATATTACAAAGTAAAAATAGCAAGTCACTAACTTTTTCAGCTGTGGTTCAGAACCAGGGCTTGAAGAAGGCATGGACCCCTTCTCTGATAAATTTTGTTGCCAGGCAGAAGTGGTGACATTACCTTTCTGCTCAACCCTGTCAAAGGGGTTGTACTCACAACTAAAGCAAGCAGAATTTGGCCTTGGCCTGCAAATCTCAGAAATATCTAAGAATACCAGAAATCTTCTGAGGTTATATAGTCCCAATTATTCTTGAAAATACATCCAAGTGTTTCAATACCTGCCCTGACTATAGGAAAGTCTGTCATTTAGCAGGAGGAAGAGTCTTACCTTAACAGTGCAGAAATTGAACACAGCAAATGAGTATTGATTTCTTATGTCATCTTGTTGGATCTGTGGAGACGGCAGTGTGAACCAGAGAAAACTAACAGTTTGAAGCTGTGAACTTGGTTCTCCCTTCTGATCATCTCCCTGTTACCTTCAGTATTCTTTCTCCTGGTTTATGCCACTGTGAGCTGAGAACTGAACTCTTTTTTTCAAGTTTTCTTTTTATCTTTAAAGGATCAGGGCTTGGATAAAGCATTTTCACCAAAGGGCTGGAAAAAGAGGATCAGACCATAAATGTCAAAGTAGTGACAGAAAATTAAGTGATGACTAAGAGAGAAGGGAGTCAGGCATGACTGGGAGGCTGGGTGCTTGGAGAGTGGTATTGCTTCAGAAAGGGAGACTGGGGCAGGCAGCAGCTCAGAGGGCAGGATGAAAGGGGAGAAAAGGCTCTGCCTCCAAAGTCAAAACTGCAGCACAGAAGACAGACTACTCTTCATCTGAAATAGGGGCTGGCAAGAACAGGGAGGTGTGAATGTTGTCCACAGAGAGTTGTTTCTGGCATTGTGGAAATCTCTTGACCAATTTCATTGCAAAGATGACAAAGCTTAACATGAACAAAGGATCAGTGTATTATGTCTTCTTTGCGCAACTATTCCTTGCCGATGGAAAGTTTTTCTTCCCCATCTCCATTACAGTTCTGCACGTACCTATTAATTCACAAGGCCAGTGCTGGCTCCCTCGTGTGCTGGTTGTGACTGATGTCAAACCCTAACAGCAAGTAACCCAATTAAAATGACTTTTTTTCAGATTCCACAGAGCATCAGAAAGTGGTCCAGAAAACAGTACCACATATGTAATTAATAATTAAATAATTAATTAATGCATCTTCATCACACCCATGGCAATGAACTTGAGAGGAAGTAAATATGTTAAATAAACGCATCATGTTGAGACATTTTTGGTTAGTTGCAAGTCAAACTCATCCTGGCAATACCATACAATGGTCTGAGCCAACTCTATTTTCAAAGGTTGTGTAATCTTAGTTTAAAAGCAGTTGACAAACATTTATCTAACTGCACCATTTCTGACCAGCTTGAGCCACTGTGCCTGCTAGCACTGTCCCATTGGAGCATTATTTTTCTATGTGCATAGCTAAGAATAGGAAAGCCTTCTCGCTCAGGGCAAGAAGACAGAGTCACATCTGCACTAATCTCTGAAGAATGAGTAAAAGAACAAAAAGTCAGGAAAAAAAAAAGATAGTTGATTTACAATAATTTCAGTCTTTAATTCAGAAAACCCCAAAGTTTATCAGTGGTTTTGCAAATCAGATGCCAAATCCCAGCTTGAGCACTCAGGAGCAATAATGTTGCATTGGCTGCTAGGGAATCAGGGAAGGCCAGACACTTGATATCACAGAATCACAGAATCATTTAGACTGGAAAAGACCTCTGAGATCATCAAGTCCAACCTATGACCATCATCACCATGCCAACTAGACTGAGTGCCACATCCAGTCTTTTCTCAAACATGTCCAGGGACAGTGACTCCACCACTTTTCCTGGCAGTCCATTCCAAATGTGAAGACACACTCAGGAACCTCATTCTCTGGTTGAGTACAAGAAACTGCTTTCCCCAACTAAAACTTCAGCAATGTTAGACTTATGGAAAATGTGTGTCAGTGACACATACAGAATACTTTTTTAAGAATGTTCTGCAAAAATCATTTTATTCCCAGAATTGCCAAATGAAACAAGGAAAGACTAATAACATCACAGTTTTCTAAAGAGGTGTGACTACACCTACTGTGCCTGGCTGTCCAACTCAACCAGGATCTGCAATGTGTTTGTCTTGGGCAATTATATGGCAAATTGTGAAGCAGACTATTTGCTCACCTAAGCCAAATCACCACGTTCTCATTTTGGAGAATCATGAACCTCCACCCAATATCCTCTAGAGACTGTCCAGAGAGACCTGCCCAGGACCCATTTTCCATATCCACCTTCTTCTGAAACCTATGTTTTTTTGTAGCCTCTTGTGAATACTCAGGCCACATGCAGCTGGGACAAGCTCAGCAAAGGAGTCCTGGACACTGTCCTGACGCTGTGGCTAGGGTATCAGAAGGCATTGAAGTGACCTGTAATGGTAAGCCAGAAAGCCATCAATAATTTCCCCATTTCCAAGGAGATAGAGAGAGAACACCGAGACAGACAT